TTCAACCTGGTGAGTCTTTATTGAGTTAGAGCAATAAGTTGTAAAAATTTAGTACATTGTATATAAATTTTATAGCAATTTACATAAATAAAGGCAGGATCGCTTAAAAAAAAAAATAACAATGATAATGAAGTTGAAAATTTAAATTTAATATTAAGTGAAAAAAATAAAATAAAACAAGAATTTATAGATAAATTAATTAATGTTTTAAATTAGTAATTTATATTATTATAAATAAATATATATTTGTTAATTTATAAATTATTATTAAATATAAATATAAAAAAAGAATTAATTAATTTGTAACCATAGATTACAAATTAATTTTGTAACTATAAATAATATTAGCAGATAACACATGATCGATATCATGCAGACCAGTAATTATAGCGAAGTATATATGTGTATGACATCAATAACACAATTAGAAACATATATATATATAGAAAGAAAATAAACTATTTTAGTTCTTTTTACTAATAGTACTTCACTACACTCTTCTCGACAATCATTTGTACCAAATTTTTCATAAACAAAAATTTCTAAAAAAACTTATTTGTTGTTGTAAATATGTAAAGAAAAGATGGATATTCACAAGTTGGCACCTGTTATTTAGAAATAGTTCTTATATGCTATCTGCTAACTGGTTTAAAGTTTATCACTCACCACAAGAATGGCACTTGTCATTTAGAAGTAGTTCTTATATGCTACTTGCCGACAAGCTCAGAGTTTATCATTTACTAGTGCAAAAAGCTATCTGTACTTCTTTCCTCTCAAGTTAGAGTATACACTTTAGGTTGAAGAAAATAAATACTCTTAAGAAAAGGCTCAAGTAACTCTTCTATCACCTTCTCTGCTTCCCTACTATTTCTCCAAAATTTTCAATAAAAAGTGAGAATTTGGTTTACCCCCTCCAAAAGATCAGTATTGTTTACCTTTCAAATTCAGATAAGTATAGTAGATTGCAACTACGTGTTTTGTTTATTTATAGATATGGTGCTACTTTACATAACCAGAATTGGGGTCTCCAGCTAAAATATCCAAGGATAGTCAGAAAGAGAAATATATATTAAGGTGAAGCTTTACAACAGAGATATACAAACATTGTATTTGTTATATAATTTTTTTTAAGCTTGACACAGGCTATAACAGTGTATCTTTAATAGCCTTAAAGTTTTTTAGTAGAGGTATCTTCTAGTCTTTTAGTTTTTTTTTAGTTTAGGTTTTTATATTAGACTAGTCTTCTTGCTTATCATGTAGTTTTTTTTCTTTTTTGTTTTTCTTATTCATTGTTCTTAATTAATTATTTTTTATTTTTTTTTTTGTATTACTCGTTTTCTTGGCTTTTAGTTCTTTTTGTTTTACTCCTTCTCCTTATTTTACCCTTAGTAAATTCCTTGCGATTTAATAGAATACAAAGAGGAGAGAAAGCCATTATTATGATGTGGCAATTAGGCTAGTTTAACATAAGCCTTCTAATCTCAAAATTTTAGATTAATGTAGTAGGTTACACTTGGGCATTTATAAGATAGTTAGATCTTTAAAAAAAGCCAGGTGATATCAAACTTGCAAATTAGGAGTAAACAAATATATTTTCAGATGTATTTAGTATCTTAATAAAGTACTGGTAAAACTACCTAAGAGTTAAAAAAAAAAAAAAAAAAAAAGTTCTTTTTACTACAACAAGTGAATATGTCAATAGAATAAAATCATTAATATAAACATACCTTGTTCAAAAACCTCAATAGTTTATATCAAAAATCCAAAAGAATCATGACAGCATTTTTGTTGCTGTATAACACGTGATATTTTAGTCCGTTTTAGCAAGTCTTCCGTAAACTACAAGTTAAAGTGTAAATACCTCAACTAAAAACTCTTTGCAAAAGTCCAATACTAGATCGTGATATATTAGTTTCTTTATATTTGTAAACTGTTCATAAGTCATTTAAGAAGAAAACTATAAGTTAAATAAATATTTAAATTAGATACGTTGATGTAAAGAATATGCTTAAGCTATCTACTAAATATTTTTTATCATATTTTTACAAGTCTTTCAATATTATTCGCAAAGTTTAAAGCCTATATTAAGTGATAAAAGATTAGAAGCTTTTAATTTACAAGTCCCTTTTATATACTCTATACAACAAAATTCGAGTAATATAGCTTCCAGTTCACAAGCTCCTTAGTAGTAGGATAGTGGGCTTTTTAGGTACATGGTTGTGTTTTTTTTCGATAATACTATTCATTCTTGTTTTTTTTTAAGTTTTTATCATATTCTTGATAACATATATAACTTATATATATTATATAAAAAACTTTCATGAATGATGTATTTTTATATATACTTCATGCTTGGTGTACTTTTTTGATATCTATTTTGATTACTATTTACTAAGGAGTACACTCCCTAAGGGTGTATGACGCAGTTGCGGAGTGAAGCGGAGCATAGTTATTATATTTGATTTCTATTTAGTTTTTTGTACTGGAGAAGCATAGCAACTCTGAATGCGAAGCATAGCGTAGCATTAGTTATCTGTTTAATTCACAATTAGTTTCTTAACACTAAGGAGTATACACCTTAGGTGTGAGCGATGCAGTTGCAGAGCAAAGCAGAGCATAGTAATCTTTTAGTTATCAATTAAATTTCTTAACACTAAGGAGTATACACCTTAGGTGTGAGCGACGCAGTTGCGGAGCAAAGCAGAGCATAGTAATCTTTTAGTTATCAATTAAATTTCTATGGTAAAAAAAATAGTTAAATTTTATTGTCTTGCAGGCCCGAAGGATGACTCGAAGAGTCATGGGTGGTCTTCAAGCATCTGAAGTTGTCGAGCATAAAATTACATGACATAATATCCTTTAGAATGTTTTTTGCAACGTCCACTAGCAGAAGCTGTAGGTTTTCCACAATTATTACATAAAACACATTTTTTAGATCTCTAATGTTCATGGCACTCTTCAGGACGTCGACACCCACATCTGCAGACTTCTCCAGAATTGTGTATATATTTGCATGTATATTTACTCTCTGACTTTTCGATATATTTATCTCCCTCGATATATTCACTAAACATTTTAATAAATGAATAATTATTTTTTATTTAAACAAAAGATCTGGTATATTAATAAAAAACACTAAAAAAACATATTACTATGGCTAAGATACTTAAATATCCAGGTTGTGATCGAGAAATAAGAACTGGTAAAACTCAAGATCTTAATAAACACATGAATTTAAATAGAAACCTTCGTAAAGGACAATGTTTACCAGCTTTGCATTTAATACAAAACCCAGTTCCAGTAGGAAATCTACCTATTCAAAATCCTGCTAAAAACCCAATCCCGGCACAAAATTCAACACCAACTCCTGAAGGTGATCTCATATCATTCGATGAAAACCCACCAACGTTGAGAAAAGTAAATATGCTGGCAGACGATCTTTTAACTGACAATATAAAAGCGGGGCCAAGTTCTATTATTTAAGGAGAACAAAAAAAGAAATCAATTTTAACAATAGATGAGTTATTAAAATGGTTATCAAAACCAGGAATTAAAAATAATAAAAAGATTAGATCAAAACCTATACCAAAGACAGACGAAGAATGGTTTGATTTAATGGAGTCGAATGATGACAATAAAAGTAGTGAACCCAGTGATTCAGAATATGACACAGCGGATAAAGATCCAGATATTTATTTCGAGAAAATTGTAGATCTATATATTAATAGAATATTAGAAGCTGAAAAATTTAATAAAGGTGAAGTATGTGATTATTACGCATCTGTTCTCAAAGAATATTTTGCTGAAGGTGAGCTATTAGCTTTCTTTGAGTCAATCAAGGAAAAAATTGCTATATAAAAGAGAATTAAGTTTAAAAGGAGGATTAAAGGTAAGAATTGTATTATTAGCACATATGAAGAAAATTACGCAAGAATCTCAAGAGCCAATATTAAAAACAAACAAAATACAATAGAAATTATAAGAGAAGATCGAATTAATGCAAGTATAGAAAAAGGATATAATGAAATTATAGATGAAATAGAAGATGAGGCATTACAAGAATCTGGATAGTCATTCGTTCGAGCAGAAGATGTATTTCTTGAAATAAGTGCATTCAGACCATTGCAAAGTAGTAGTTATTTACCTTTACTAGAAGCTTTAGATAAGCCACAACTAGGAATAATTAATCCACAAAATAGGGATGATAATGAGTGTTTTAAATGGTATATAAGTGCATATCACACAAGAGAGGAAGCAATAAAAGCTAATAGAAAGCTACCACATCTTAATGAAATTTGGAGACTTAGATGAAATGCAAATATAGCAAATTTTGAAGGTATAAAATTTCTGGCAACACTCCATGATATAGATAAATT